CTACCTGCTTGTTCTTCTTTCTCCTCATTCTTTGGCTCTAGATTTTGTCACCCCACTGACCTCCTAATTCACACACTGATCACCTTCTCTCTGACTTCTAGTTCCTTGTTTTGCAGCATGTGATGCCCTCTAATCACCTTTCCCCTTGAATAGCTCTCTTGGATTTACCTTCTGTAAGTCCCTTGGTATTTCTGTTACAGGACAGGGTGAGCGGCATACCAAAACCTCCAAACCTGCCTGTTCTAAATAGGTTTTGCCATCAGTTGCATCAAGACAAAACATACTTTAGTGCGTAAGTCCTTTAATGGAAAGGAACTTTAATACAATTAGTGCATAATACAAAAAAAGACAAAGAATAAAGTTTCCAAATTAAGCACAAATTAAGTTTCCAAATTAAGTTACTCATCTCCTCGGGGGTTAATGCCCAGCCAAACAGGGTTGGTCCAAAGCAGGGCTGCTGAGGCCCGAAAGCCTGTCACAGGTCTAAGGTACTTCCTGGTGGGGACCCATAGGAAAGGGGCAGAAATGGCCAGGCAAGTCTGGAAGTGTTATAGGACAGGGAGAGGGGCAGCCCAAACCCCGCAAACCTGCCTATTCTAAATGGGTTCTGCCATCCGCCGCATCAACACAAAACATATGAGACTTTAATGAAAAGGAACTTTAATAAAACTAGGAAACAATACAGGAAAGGCAAAGAGTCTAGTTTCTAAATGAAGCACCCAAAGTTACCCGTCCCCTCGTGGGTAAAAGTCCATCCAAATGGGATTGGTCCAGAACAAGGCCCCAAAGCCTGCCACAAGTCTAAAGCATCTTCCAGTGGGGACCCACAGCAAAGGGTCACAAACAACCGGACAAGCCCGGAAGGAAAAGAGCAAAATCAACATCAAGATAAAAGCTGCCATTGTCACCTCCCCACGGGTCTCACCGACATCTGTGTCACCCAGTCCACGACCAAAAGACAAGCACAGTTTCTTCACGTGTCTCTAGGCTCCATCCTGCTTCCTTCCTTCCTCAGTCTCTTCTTCTGCTTCTCCTCTTCCTGCTCAGCTCCACCCTCCCTTGGGTGGGGCAGGGAACCTCCCCCTTTCCTGGGGACCACCCTGTTACAGAAGGAAAAGAGTAAAATCAAAACCAAGATAAACACTGTCATTGTTAACCTCCCCACGATTCTCTCACTCACAACTATTTCAACCAGTTCAAGACTAAGAAGCAAGTGTAGCTTCTTCACGTCTCTCTGCTCCACGTGCCTCCTCTAGGTCTCCTTGCTATCCATTCTTCCTTCTCCCTTCTCTCCAGCTTCTCTTTTCCTGCTCAGCTCCGCCCTTCCGTGGATGTGGCAGGGAACCTGGAACCTATCCTTTTTCTGGGGACCACCCTGTTAAATTTCTGCTGTTTCTTCTTCCTCCCAAATCCTGGCTTTCGCCAGAGCTGTATGCTCAGACTCCTTGTCTCTTACCTCCTGTCCTAGGTGTAATCCTACTTTACTCTCAACTCTTTAGTTTTTCAGGCTTGAGCTCTAGTTTCACATCCTTGATCACTTCTGGACCTGTCACCCCATGGTGTTGCAGGTGGCTCTGATTCAGTCTATGTAGACAGAAATATTCAGTCCTTCCCTATAATCCCCAGAATGCTCTAAAAACCTGTCTTCTTCAATCCTTTGAGCCGCCACATGCAGTCTGTTACCAAAGTCATATGGACTAACTCTTGCATCGGCCCATTCTTTTCAGTCCTCTTGCCATACCCTGGCTGGTCCTTTGACCTGGACAACTGTAGTAACCACCTAAGTGACCTTGCTGCCATCAGTCTCTTTTCAACCTGCTCTAATCCTTCACTGCCAGATTAATCCTGTCTAGAACCCAAGCCAACTCTGTCCTCTAACTGAAAAGTCTCCAACAATTCCCACCCTAGGTTTAGCTCTAAGTCTGCCTTTCATGTTCCTTCCATCCTGATAGCTCCTTATGTAACAGGGTGGTCCCAGGAAAGGGGGAGGTTCCCTGCCCCACCCAAGGGAGGGTGGAGCTGAGCAGGAAGGGGAGAAGCTGGAGAAGAGACTGAGGAAGGAAGCAGGATGGAGCCAGGAGACCTGAGGAGGCACATGGAGCCTAGAGACACGTGAAGAAACTGCGCTTGTCTTTTGGTCGTGGACTAGGTGACACAGATGTCGGTGAGACCCGTGGGGAGGTGACAATGGCAGCTTTTAGCTTGATGTTGATTTTGCTCTTTTCCTTCCGGGCTTGTCTGGTTGTTTGTGACCCTTTTCTGTGGGTCCCCACTGGAAGATGCTTTAGACTTGTGGCAGGCCTTGGGGCCTTGCTCTGGGCCAATCCCATTTGGATGGACTTTTACCCACGAGGGGACGGGTAACTTTGGGTGCTTGATTTAGAAACTAGACTCTTTGCCTTACCTGTATTGTTTCCTAGTTTTATTAAAGTTCCTTCCCATTAAAGTCTCCTATATTTTGTGTTGATGCGGCGGATGACAGAACCCATTTAGAATAGGCAGGTTTGTGGGGGTCTGGGGTGCCCCTCTCCCTGTCCTATAACACTTACACTCCAGCCAAACTGTAGCACTCACTGAACAGATAGGTGGGTTCTTTTACCTGTGCTGCTTTCCCTCCCTGGAAGAGACGTCAGTCTCCTCCTAGCTGGTGGTCTACTTGTGTTTCAAGGTCTGGTCAAATGCCTCTCTTCTACAGTTATTCTGCCTGCATTTCAATACAGATGTGACTCCCTGGGCCTGTCTCCCCTCCCCCCCCCCTTTATTTTATTCTTGTATTGGGCTGTTTGCATATTTGTCCTGTTTTTGACCAGCATCATTCCCAGTTATCTCTGAATCCTCTAAAACACTTGGCACTGTGCTTTGCACACAATTGGTGTCTAGTAACTACTGAATGCAATAATGACCTTTGGACTTCCTTCACCTTCTCCCCACTGCTGAGTAGGAGGTGGCCAGATGAGCCACCAGGGTTGTTGCACTGTTCTCCCTTGGCCCTATCACACCAAATAGATTTCCCTTTTCTCACTTCTGCTCCTTACCAGGTTATTAAACCCTTCCACTGCCTCAAAACCCTTCTTTCCCATACTTGCATATACACATTTCTGCCTGACTTGCTCCAAGTCTGTTCTTTAGGGTTAAGTGTGGCTCCACTGGTCCAGCCTCTACCCCATCACATTGCATGTAACCTGGCTAATTAGAAAGCTTATATCCTGTACTTCCCCATACCTGAGGGACCTGAAAGGGAGACACTAAGAGTTGTGACTTATACTCCATTCCTAAGTGGCTTAAAGATTAAAAAGAAAATGTAAATTGGCAAGCACTTTGCAATCTCGTTCTCTGTGCCCATAGCTGGACACTTAGACTGACTTACTGTTTTACCAGCATATGTAGTAACTTAAAAGGTGGCCTGTTAAGAACTTAAGAAAATTCTACATCCCACTTTTTGTAGTCTTGATGTACTATATTTGGGGGGTGGGGGGTGGGGAGGGAAGTAAATGCAAGACGAGATGCATTTTGTAAAATACATCCTAATTTTGAATAGTGTCCCCTCAATGACCTGATAGAGGTAGGCATTAATTATCCTTTTCTGATAGCAGAGGTTTAGAAAGAATCCAGGGTTTCGTCTAAGGTTATAGGTGATTAAGAAGCTTGGCTAGGACTGGAAATTCAGGTCTTGGAAATCCTAGTCAAGTGCTTCTTCTAAGATCCCAAGTTTTGCCTCCTTCCTGCCTAGTTTCCTGTCAGCCTGTAAATTGCCCCAGTAAAGGGGCCTTAGGAAATAACTGTCTCTTTGATGGTAGAAATGTCTTCAAATCCTGGGTGTGGCTTAAGGAAGCTAAAGGTTGACTCTGCACATAAAAACCCAGCCTTCTGGGTAGGCATGAGGCTGTCCAGAATTGAGTGTCTAGCTGGACTCTAGGCTTGTGTTAACTCTGGCCCTAGGCAGGATGCAGTTGCTTGAATTACGGTGTCCTGGGGACTAAAGTCCCCCTGAGGTGGAGCCCACCTCTTCAGTGCAGACTGGGTTCCCCCAGGAATGAAATTACCATCTTCAGTGGCTATAGCAATTTGTTGTTTACCTGTAGTTAGTGAGGAGGCGGGTGGGAGGGAGGAATGAGGGTAGGGAAAAGAAAGTAGGGTCAGTTTTCCCCAAGAATACATTTTGATCGCTGTTGTTTTCTATGTAGAGGACTTTGCTTTTGGTTGAGATGAGTGAGAAGCTAGGGAGGTAAGTTTAAAAATTTGAAGAACCCAAAGCTAGATGCCATTTTTATAAATCAAAGTAGGATTTGAGCCTAATTTCTGTTCTCTTATCTCGTCATTGGTTTATTAGCGCTTCCCAGTCAGGGCTACTTGAGATGTTTACCTGTGTACCTTTCTCCCAGAATGCCTTGCACATCGGTGCGCCCATAAATCTTCCTTGCATCGAATTACCGGTGTGATCCCAGAAAACCTCTGGCTTAGCATTTCACTATGGCAGCTGACGTCCGTTCAGAATACCTCAGTGGGCCCGAACGTACCCTCCCCTCACTGCGGCCTCGCGACGCGCCCGGGGCGGGGGCCGAGGGGCGGGGGGCGCGGGACTTTGCTCGCCGCGCTCCGGGCCGCGACGTGCTCGGCGCCCGCGCCCAGGTGACCCCGCGCCCAGGTGACCCCGCGCCCAGGTGCGCGCCCCGCGAGGCCGAGTGGTCCGCGCGGACGCCGAGCGGTGGCTGGGCCGCCGGGCGGGCCCGCGGGCTCCGCGCCGTTCCCGCGGTAGTACCCGGAGGCTTTCCCGTTACGAGGGGCGCGCCGAGGGAGGTGGTCCTCCCAGCGGCTTTGTTCCGGAGGGTCCCGGGGGCGGCTCGGGGCGGGGCGGGGGGTCCCCGCGGCCCGCGCCCCCCTCGCGGCGCGCCGGCGCTTCCTCCGCGACGCTGTTATGCTAATCAGGTGACATCAGCCCGGCGCGGCGCGGCTCCCGGTTAAATTACAAACCGGCGGCCGCCGCGGGCAGCGGGAGGAGGTGTGCTGCCCCGCGAGCGCCGGCCCGGCGACCCGGCGTGCCGAGGATTGGCCACTTTTAAAAGAAAATTCAAGTAGGGCCTGCGCCTCCTCCCCCATCCTCCCGCCCTCCTCGGTCATTTATTTCAAGCTTCCAGCCCGGGACCACAAAAGGAAAGCGGCGAGGAATTAGATGCCCGAGTGGTAGCTGCTGGGCGGGCCCAGGTGGACTCCGCTGCAACCAGCTTCCGACCAGCTCGCCCTGCCGGGCCTTCTGACCCGCATGGGGCTCGCCGAGTGAGCGCGGGGCTGGGAGCCAGGTCGTCCGGAAGCTGCTGCGTGTTTGATGGGCGTAGAGGGGAGCGCCGCGGGGTTTCCACCGTGCAGCTCGCTGGGGCTTCACGCCCGGCATAATGGAACTACAGAGGACGTCCAGCATCTCCGGGCCGCTGTCGCCCGCCTACACCGGGCAGGTGCCTTACAACTACAACCAGCTGGAAGGGCGGTTCAAGCAACTACAAGGTAAGCCCCTCTCCCGAAGGCCAGGCCTACCCCTGGGGCAATACCTGCAGGGATCCTGTGGCTTTATGGGAACCATATGGAACGTGACCCTAATGAGGACGGGAGACGGCGCAGAGGCTGGCCCCAAAGCCGCTGGGTGACCTCGATCACCCCACTCACTACTTAAAGGAGACAGTTTCTCACTGTGTGCTTCCGAAAAGCTACCATTTGGAGTCTCTCTCTTTTTCTCTCCAGTATCCTTTTGATTCTCTTGGTTGTCAGGTATCTCGAGCCGCAAACATTTTCTGCCCTTCAGTTATCTTTGCATTTCGATAGACCCATGCTAATAGACCTATTACTATGGAAGTATTTGATTCCCGGTCACCACTGTTTCCCAGATCCTAGGCCTGTTACCTCTGGGAGTCTTAAAGGTGTAAAGTGCACTGTTAGAGACCTAGTACTATAGAACAATAGCAGAGGGGTGGAGGGAGTGGTCTTTTTGTTCCTAAGCCTCGGGTAAATTACAGTTTTGATTCTGATGCTTAATTTTAATTCTTTTGATGTATTGTGTTGGGGGAGAGTCTTCCCATCAATTTAGTGGGCTATGTAATTTATAATGAAAGCCAGTTATTGTCATTCCAATGCGATGGGTTGCAGTGGTTGGATCAATTACAGGTTTCTTGGAGTCTATATTAGTCTCAATTGAATGAATTCAATATTTAGCCACATATATTTTTATGGAGGCTAAGGTCTTCTGTGCAGGAGTATGTGTGGGGGTGGGCTGCAACCTGTGGCAGGGTTGGCCCCTGCAGCCCTTGGCTGCCCCTGCCCAGTCAGCAGGCCTGGCCCGGCGGTGTCACAGAGTATACATGAAAAAGGATTTATAACTGAAAACAGAACTCCTTCCGTTTGGAAGCCTCTAAATCAGTAATAGGCTGCAAAAGGCTCTAGTGCTGCGAAGAAGTATCCTTCCAGACTGTGTATGCTTCTTATTTTAACTCTTCTAGATGCCACAAATGTGGTTCCTGTGAGGAGGAGGAAGGAAGGAAGCAGCTCAGTCCTAGAATGTTTTCATTGGGAAAGGGAGGAGGATATATTTCATTCATAGGTTTATTTGTCTTGTGAAATAGTTGACAGTAATGACACTTTTCTGGAAAACAAGAGGCAGAACAGGACGTGATTTTAAACATTTGCTAGATGGTGCTGCATTCCTTGGGCAGTTAGCTGAGAGGAAGCTCATTCCCTCTAGGGAATGAGTGCATGTCTTTGGTTCATTCCTCTCCAGCTCTTGGAAGGTGGAATTTGCCTTTTTGAAAATTTGAAGGGACTCGGGCTGGTGGGGTAACTTAAAAGTAGCAAATAGAGGAGTGGGGGCATGCCTCTTATCTTATCTTTGGGTCTAACTTAGGAGTCCCCACAGATTTAAGTTTGAGAATTCAAAATGGACCTTTTCTTCACTTAACCAGGCATTGTGTCATATTGCCAAGGCTAAAACTCCCTGGGGAAATTTCCATCAGAAAACCCATCACCTTAGTCCAGTCATTCTGCTCCTGTAGTCTCAGAAGAAAGAGAAACCAAGGAGAAACTGTAAGAAGCTGTGAGGAGGAGTGCACTCATAAAATGCTGTTTTGAAAGATTTGAGGGTAGTTGTAAAATGCCCTCTGAGAAGGGTGGAGCTTACACACAGGAAATGCCTTAAACTGTCCTATCTCAATGAAGTACTATTTAAATAAATTAAGGAGGAAAAAAAACCCACAGTGTGCCCTGATCCCATAAGTGTTTTCAGGGAAATCCTTTTAAAATTGGCGGGCTTCACATTTTCTGTGGTGAGTTCTTTAAAAAATGGTCTTTGTCTCCAAATTTAGTTCCAGATAACTTTATTATTTCTAAATATTGTGGTTTAGGAGTTGCACAAGTTCAGTGTTGGCATTTCTTTAACAGAAACCCCCCCATGTTGAGGAACTGAGAAAAGGTGCATTAACTTTCAAGTATGGTGGATCCCAGAACTATTGCAAACATTTTGCATAGCCCTTAGTAACAATGGAACTGATTATATTTTAAGCAGTTTAGGAGAATTTTGTTAACACCTTTTTCTGTCCCCTTCTTCCAGTCTGGTACTTTGTTTGGTATTTGTAATTTTTCTAATTAACACATCTGAGATAATGATAGGCTTTTATCTGTTATTTAGTTTTGTCCTTACCTATAAAGCTGCATGGCAGACTAATCACTGCGTCTCTAAATCTGTATTGATTTTTTTTTTGGGGGGGTGCCTCTTATCTACTTTCTTATTTAGCATCTGTGCCTGAGAGTTCTGTGATTTTGTGTGAGATGTTTCTGCATTTTGCTGGTTTTGTGTATTTTTACAGTGGAGGCTAACAATTTAGGTAAAATAGTTTCTAATGATCTGTGGGTGGGTAAGTAATTATGATTAAACATAAAAATCTCTTTGGCTTACGGAACCGAGATACAGAGTGATACTTACCACACTAAAATCCCTGCTATAAGGGGCCACCCTGGTGGCGCAAGGGGTCAAGCACAGCATTGTGAAACTTTCCATAGACACTGTAGCATGAGTTCGATCCCGGCCAGCCAAGGAGCTGCCCACATGGCACAGCAGACCTCTCCTGTCTTGCCCGCTGCTCCCCTCAGCAGTGGATTTCAGTAGATCCGCCTGTTCTGTTCCCCACTCTGTGTCTGGTGAATCCTCTCACCCCCCTCACTTCTGGCCCATACCGCACTTCTTGTATGCATAAATAAATAAATCTAAAAAAAAAACAAAAACGCTGGTAATAAGGCAAGAGACACCATCTTCTACCTCTGACAGGGAAACACAACACACACTGATTGTACACACCCAATGCCCTCATTCTCTTTCAAGTTATTTTACATGCAAAATCATGTAAAATACCCCCTTCCTCAGCATCTGTTCGTGTATTTTTTAAATGAGAAGAAAGCTATAACACATTTAAGCAGAACCTCTCATGTTAAAAAAAAAAAAAGTAGTTGTAGTAACAGGTTCGCAATACCTTTTCTGCAGTTTCACGCCTGCCAGCTTAACTCGTTAGAAGAAAATACTTAATTACTATAGGAAAATACTCCTGCTACTCATCTCAGAAACTATTTCACCTGTACCTATTCTAGATCCCTTAAATTGGCATTCAGGAACCTCCTCCAAGTGACCCTACCCTATTTGCTTCCTATTCCAGCCCTTTACACTGTATAGATTTTCCAGGTAGGCAGACCTGCAGTTCTTTATAAAAACCAACCTGAGGTTTTACCTTCATTGTCTTCCTATGCCTCAAATGTTCCACCCTTCCATTTTACCTATAGGTTTACTTCCTAAAAAAATTTTAAAGACTATGCTTTTGTTCCAGTTAATCCATAAAGCTTCTCCTTATCTATTCTGTTAAGAGTTAGAGGGGAGGGCCTCCCCTGGGGGCGCAGCGGTTGAGAGCTGGGTTGCAGGACTGCCTGCAGCCTCTGCAGCACCAGCTTGATCCCCGGCTACCGGTGAGGGTCCCACTCACACACGTACACATACACACACACACAAAAGTTGCAGCTGGGAAACGTAACAAATTATAAAAAAAAAGTTAGAGGGGAAAAGAATTCATTAGTGCTTACCTGTGCCAGATGTTAGTAGGGAATTTATAAGTGGTGTCTCATCTTCCTGTCACATCTGTTATGTTTTATTTTTTTTTTAATTTTTTTATTTATGCATGCAAGAACTGGGGTACAGGCCAGAGTTTGTGGGGGGTGAGAAGATTCACCAGAGACAGGGTGGGGAGCAGAACAGGCAGATTGACTGAAATACTCTGCTGAAGTGTGCAGCGGGCAAGTCAGGAGAGCTTTGCTGCACCATGTGGGTCATCTCCCTGTCAGGGGATCAAACTCTTGCTGCTGTGGCTGCAAATAGCTTCATAGTGCCGTGTCTTAAACCCTTGTGCCACCAGGGAGGCCCCCACATCTCTTATGTTTTAAAGGTGAGACGATAGAGTCAAATAATTTGCCCAGGGTCATAAGCATTGTTGAGATCACAGGCTCTATATAGTTTTGTAATTTTCTCATCCTGGATCTCTAGTTATTAGTATTAATATTTCATTACTTAAAAAAGGAATGATAGGATGATACTGTGAGATGCCCACCCTAACTTGGTTCTGTCCTTTGCCTATCTGCCCCCACAGAGGGCTAATTCTGTTGGCACCAACAGTGGAGTGGAGACAGGATCTAGTAGAAAAGCATCAAAGTAAATGTTTTCTGGCTTAGTGAAGTTGTCCCACTGTCCAAAAAGAGTTAGGAAGTAATTTATCTTCTTTGGGACATAAAGGGAGACCGAAAATCTTGAGGCCATGGAATGTATTACTCTCAAGTTTATTATTAATTTTTTTGTTGGTTTGTTTTGATTTCTTAACTGTTAGGAAAAGTATATTGATGATTTTATATTTGTGAATCATGAAGAAAATGTATTTTTATGTTTTTGAGAACTTTCAATTTTGTTTTGGTACCTAGATGTTAGTGTTGCTTTATTTTCTTATACTGAGAAAGAAGATTGCTGGGTTTATTATACCTGTTTGTCATGTAGAAAAATTTAAGTTCTTAGATATAATGTAATAAATATTGCCATTGTGAAAAGAATTGATGACAGAAATGATACCCTGAATATTTTAGATGGGGACACAATTTCTAAGAACAATTTTGGGTTTAGGGAAAGCATAAAAGATTGTTATTTTGGGGCATAGGGTTCTGGATACCTGTCTATAATGCTTCAATGCTAAGCTCAGATAACATTGTAGAACAAGTCACCAATTTAAAAAAAAAAAAAAAAAAAGCTTTCACTGGTTAGCTAGTTTCAATTCACAATTTTTAAGTTCCTAAGAGATTTGTGAATTAGAGTCTGTTTTGAATGGTGGAATAGTGATTATAATATACACAACATTTAATTTGTATCATCTTAATTGATTAAATGATATTATTCAAAGTGTCCAGCCTAGTACTTAGTAAGTAATAGATCTATTACTTAG